ACACCCAAGAAGAGTAGATGGCAGGAAATAATCAAACTCAGGAATAAAATCAATACAATAGAAACAAAGAGAACAATACAAAGAATCAATGAAACAAAACAGAGTTGGTTCTTTGAGAAAATCAGCAAGATAGACAAACTCTTATCTAAAATAACCAAAAGGCAGAGAGAGAATATACAAATTAACAAAATCAAAAACGGGAGGACATAGCAACAGACACTGAAAAAATCCGAAGAATCATTAGGTCATACTTCAAAAACCTTTACTCTGCAACTTGGAAAATCTAAAAGAAATGGACAAGTTTTTTTTTTTTTGATAGATACCACTTACTAAAGTTAAATCAAGGCCAGATAAGCAATTAAAATAGATCTGTATCCCTAAGGAAATAGACACAGTCATTAAAAGTCTCCCAACCAAAAAAGCCAAAGGCCAGATGGTTTCAGCATAGAATTTTACCAGACTTTCAAAAAAAAAAAAAAAAAAAACCCAATATTTCTCAGATTGTTCCACACAGTAGAAACAAAAGTAACATTGCCAAATTAATTTTATGTTGCTACAGTTACCCTGATACCCAAACCACATAAAGACTCAACAAAGAAAGAGAATTATAGACTAGTCTCACTCATGAACATAGAGGCAAAAATACTCAATAAAATAGTCAAATCAAGCAGGTTTCATTCCAGAGATTCAGGATGGTTCAACATATAAAAATCTGTCAATGTAATTCACCAAATAAACAAACTGAAAGAAAAAATTATCTCATTAAATGCTGAAAAAGCCTTTGACAAAATCCAACACCCCTTCATCTTTTTTTGGAGAAATAAGGAATACAAGGTACATACCTAAAGATAACAAAGGCAATTTACAGCAAGCCCATAGCCAACTTCAAATTAAATGGAGAGAAACTCAAAGCAATTCCACTAAAATCAGGAACAAGACAAGACTACCCACTCTCTCCATATCTATTCAATATTGCACTTGACATCCTAGCTAGAGCAATAACACAACTAAAGTAAATCAAAAGAATACAAATTGGAAAGGAAAAAACCAAAGTATCATTATTCCCAGATGATATGATCATATACATAAGCAACCCCCAAACTTCTACCAGGGAACTCTTGCAGTTGATAAACACCTTCCGCGAAGTGGCTGGATACAAGATTAACTCAAAATGAAACAAAACAGTATCCCTCCTATATACAAAAGACAAATAGCATGCGAAAGAAATAATGTGGCCCTTCACAATAGCCACGAATAATGTAAAATATCTTGGCGTAACAATAACCAAGCAAGTGAAAGACCTGTATGACAAGAACTTCAAACCTTTGAAGGAAGAAATTGGAGAAGAAATCAAAAGATGGAAAGATCTCCCATGCTCATGAACCAGTAGGAATAACATAGTAAAAATGCCCACCTTACCAAAAGTAATCTACAGATTAAATACAATCCCCATTAAAATTCCAACACAACTCCTTACAAACTTTGAAAGAACAATATTCAACTTCATATGGCAAAACACCCCCCCCCAAGATAGGTAAAACAATCCTGTACAACAAAAGAACTTCAGAGGTATCTCCATTCCTGGTTTCAAGCTCTATTATGTAGCCATAGTAATAAAAACCATGTGGTATTGGCATAAAAACTAGTTGCTCAAATTCAAGACCCAGTTATAAATCTACACACCTATAGACATCTGATTTCTGAAAAAGAAGCCAAAATTATACAGTGAGGAAAAAAAGTATCTTCAGCAAATGGTGCTGGCATAACTGTATGGTGGTATGTAGAAGAATGCAAATAAATCCATATCTATCACCTGCACAAAACTCAAATCCAAGTGGATCAAAGACCCCAACATAAAACCAGTTACACTGAAGCTGATGGAAGAAAATATGCGGAGTAGCCTTGGCACAAGAGACAACTTGCTGAATAGAACGCAGATAGCTCAGATAGGTACTAAGATCATCAATTAATAAATGTGACTTTGTGAAATTGAAAAGCTTCTGTAAGGCAAAGGACACCACCAATAGGACAAAACAGCATCCTACAAAAATGGGAAAAGATCTTCACCAATTCCATATTTGACAGAGGACTAATTTCCAAAATATATAAAGAACTCAAGAAACTAGACATCTAAAACTAAAAAATCCAACTAAAAAAAATGGGGCAGAGATCTAAATAGAATTCTCAACAGATGAATCTCCAATGTCCCAGAATTGTTCACCATCCTTAGCCTTCAGGAAAATATTAATCAAAATAACTGTAAGAATCCATCTTAGACCTGTCAGAGTGGCTAAGATAAAAAACACACAGTGACTGTTCATGATGTTGAAGGATGCAGAGCAAGGGAAACACTCCTCCATTTCTGGTGGGAGTTCAAACTCGTATAACCACTTTGGAAATCAACATGGCAGTATTTCAGGACCCAGATATACCACTCCTGGGCATATACCCAAAGGATGCTCCATCCTAGCACAAGGATGTTTGATCAACTATGTTTATAACAGCATTATTCATAATAGCTAGAAACTGTAAACAACCAAGATGCCCCTCAACTGAAGAAAATAGGCTACATTTACACAATGGAGTATTATCCAGATGTTAAAAAATAATATCATGAAATTTGCAGGCAGATGGGTGAAACTAGAAAAAATCATCCTGAGTGAGGTAACTGAGACCCAGAAAGACAAACATGGTGTGTGTGTTTTCACTTATAAGTTAATTAGTTGTAAAGGATATTAGTTGAAAGGTTATAACTGTGCTATAATCCTCAGACCTAGTGACACTAAGACACAAGGAGTGTTCTTGGGGGAACACAAGAATCTCACATGTAAGAGAAAATAAAAGAGACATGGCAGGTGAACAGATGGGGGCTGGGGGATAAGAACAAGAGGGATCAGGTAGGGGGAGGATGGAGAGAGTACTGAGAGAGACTACTGGAATTGGGGGGCATCTTGGAGTCAAGCAAGAACCCTAGTGTACCCATAGCTCAGACTCCTAGAAATGGGGGTTATGGAACCAGAACTGGCCATCTTCTGTAACCAGGCAAGACTTCCACTGAACAGACACCAACCCAGCCACAAAATCTTCCACCTACAATTTGTCTAGATGTGCTGGTGTAAAGGCGGCACAGAAGTTGTAGGAGTAGCAGGTCAATGACTGGTCCAGTCTAAGACCCATGCCATGGAAGGGAGGCCATCCATGACACTGTCTGGAGGATCAGGACCCAGAAGCTGCATAGCCCAGAGACCTAGGACAGAACCGAGCCCCCCTGACAAAAGAAAAAAGTCATTGAAATGATTCCTAATGATATTCTGCTATACTCATAGATTGGTACCCTGCCCAATGGTCATCAGAAATGGTTTCATCGGCAACTGAAGGAAACAGATGCAGAGAACCACAGCCAAACATTAGGCAGAGCTTGGGGAATCCTGTGGAAGAGGGGGAGGGATGGTAGGAGTCAAAGGGTCAAGGACATCACAGAAAAGCCCAAAGAAATTAAACTGGGGTCATAGGGGCCCACAGGGACTGAGCCAAGAAACACGAAGCCTGCGTGATACTGATGCATGCTCTCTGCTCATAGTTACAGGGTGTAGCTTGGTGTTCTTGTGGCACTGTTTGCCTGCTTTTGGTACCCTTTCCCTCATACTAGGTTGTCTTATCCAGCCTTAATATGAGGGAAGTACCTGTTTTTTGATACAACTTGTTATGCCATGCTTGTTTGATATCTGTAGGAGGTCTGCCCTTTTCTGGCGAGAAAAGGAGGAGGGGGGGCAGATGAGTGGTTGGGGGAAGAGGGAGGAGAACCTGTGGTTGGCCTGTAAAAAAAAAATAGTTGTACTGTGGTGGAGTATTCCTTTTTTCCCAGTTCTTGGGAGGCAGAGGCAGGCGGATCTCTGAGTTCAAGGCCAGCCCTGTCTATGGAGTGAGTTCCAGAACAGCTGGAGCTACACGGAGAAACTCTGTCTCAAAAAAAAAAAAACCTAAACTAAACTAATAAAAATAAAAAAATAATGTGTGAGATACAAAGGAAAAGAAATATATAAGATCAAGTAGAATATAATGAACAAAATAAGAAGTTCACAATCTTTCAGTAAACATCCTTGAACGCAGATAGATTTGATACTAGTCTAATGGCATACACTGAGTGAATGAACAAACAGATTCAATCACATGCTGCCTACAATAAGGATATTTGATTCCTAAAGATACACACAGACTAAAAGTAAAGAATAGAAATAGATATGTTATGTAAGCAGTAGGTAAAGAAAGCTTTAAATAAAAAACTCTAAAATGACTAAAAGAAAGCCATTGTATATTGATAAGAGGACCAATTCAGCAAGAAAACATGTAACCATTTAAATATGAAAAACAAGTATTATTGAATATGAATAAATATACACAAAACATGTAACTATTTAAATATGAAAAAAGCAAGTATTATTGAATATAAAGTGAGACATAGATTCCAGTGCAATAGTAGTTTAGACCAGCCTGGGATACATGGTGTGGTTGTGTTTCAAAGACTGAGAAAAGGGACTTGGAAAACAGCTCAGTGAAGTACTCTTGTTTGGCATGAATGAGACCCTGAATTTAATTCCCATCACTGTAACTAAATAAAAAAAAACCTCTAGATCCTTATTTCCGAGAAATATGAAATACAAAGATATAAGAATTCACAATAAAACGCTGGCAAACAGGATTAAAAAGCATATCTACAAGTTTGAATACCATGATCAAGTGACATTTACATCAGAAATGCAAGGATGGTTCTACATAAACAAATCACATGATATTTGACATCAATGATTCATAAAACCACATGTTCATTTTAATGAATAATGTTTGATAATAGTTAACAATCTTCATGATAAAACTCTCAACAAATTAAGTCATAGAGAAAAATCCTCATAATATTTGTCTATATTTGGAAAGTCTGCAGCTGAAATACAATGATTTCATCACAAGAAAAGATGTTCACTTTTACTGTTTGTTCTTAACAGTTCTGGAAGTCTCAGCAAGATGACCAGGAACAAGAAAGAAAGAGAGGATATTCACATTGGAAACGCTGAAGTGCCATCACAGACATTTGCAGATGCTATGACTTCACACATAGAAAAAAAAAGCCCAATCATCAGAGAACTATGAAAACTGATGCATGGGGGTGCAAGTTAGTACAGCCTTTATGGAAAATAGTCTGAGAACTCCTGGAGAAAGCCAAAGTTTGAAGTGCCTTATGATCCCAAGATTCTATTGCTGGGTATCTAGCCAAAAAATTAATAATAAAATAAAATCTTTACTCCAAAACAATAATTGTGTTCCCAGTTTTGGTGGTTTGTTTTTTAATTTGTTTATTTATTTTATGTTTATAAGTGTTTTACCTTCACATATATCTGTGCCCCACATGTGTGCCTGGTGTCTGTAGAGGCCAGAAGATCCCTATGAGTTGCAAAGGGTTGTGAGCTGCCATGTGGATGCTGGGAATTGAAGCCAGATCCTCTGGACGAGCAGTCAATGCTCTTAACTGCTGAGCCACCTGTCCACATTCCCATTTTTATTATGACACTGCTCATAATACCTAAAATATGGAATCAACCTAGATGCCAATAAAGGGATGAATAGATATAGGAAATGTGCTAGATAGACAGACTGGAGTACTATTTAGACATTAAAGGATGAACACCTGACATTTATAGCAACATGTGTGCAATTTGAGGTCATTACGTTAAGGGAAATAGCCAGACAAAGGCAAATGCCACATTTCCCACACTCTCAGTCATTTCAGAAAACAAATAAGTCAACAATTTAGAATAAAATGGAACTATAGTTGCTAGAGACTGGGGAAGGTAAGAGAGGGTGGGATCAGAAAGATGTTCGATAAACGGCATCAAAACCCAGAGAGCAGAAATTCATTCATTCTGTTTTTTTTTCCCCTATAGCATAGTGGGGGTAACTATGGGTTAAAACAGTGTATGTTCTATTTAAAGGTGACTAGAAGAATATGATTTTCTAGCACATACAAATGGCTAAAGGGTCTGTAGTGCATAAATTAATGCAGACAGATTGTAAATAATATATACACAGCTTTAATGTGGAAATAAGACTCACAGAACCACCATTCCAGCGGAGGACAGGAAGCAGGAAGGGGCTTGCGGGAGCCCATGCGTGCCTGATTTATAAGTAAACCTTCGCCCGAGGCAAGCCTGCCCCCTAAGAGGGGCTGGCTTAACCCTACAAGGGGCTGGGGAGATGTTTCAGTGGTTATGAATACATACTGCTCTTGCAGAGGACCCAAGTTCAGTTCCCAGCACCCACGAGATGGTTCACAAGCCGTGATAATGCCAACTCCAGGAGATACAGCATCCTCCTCTGGCCTGTGTGGATTTAATTTAAAATTAAATCAAATCTTAACATTGGAGAAAAGGAGAGTCTTGCTCTACCTAGATAATGCATGTGGTATATACACCTGTACTCATGTGATGGAGGAGGGTCATCTGTCTATCTGTTGCTTTCATTGGTTAATTAATAAAGAAAGCTGCTTGGCCTGATAGGGCAGAATTTAGATAGTTGGAGTAGACTGAACAGAATGCTGGGAAGAAGGGAAGTGAGGCAGTCGCCATAGCTCTCCTCTCCGAGATGGATGCAGGTTAAGAATATTCCCAGTAAGATACCACACCATCTCGTGGTACTATACTCATTAGAAATGGGTTAATCAAGATGTGAGAGTTAGCCAGTAAGAGGCTAGAACTAATGGGCCAAGCAGTGTTTAAATGAATACAGTTTGTGTGTTGTTATTTCAGAGTATAAAGCTAGCTGTGAGGGAGCTGGGGCCGCAGCCCACTGCTCCCACCATCAACACTCATGGGCACACACCCACACCTACATATAATTTAAAATTAAATCAAATCTTAACATTGGAGAAAAGGAGAGTCTTGCTCTACCTAGATAATGCATGTGGTATATACACATCAAATTACCATCATCTACCCCATGTGCTGTATAGACGCTACACCTCAGTAAAAGCAGGTTTCTTAAGAGGAGACTTGGCCTTTCTGAATGAACAAGATGTTGCTAAATTTTGCGTTGGACTCCCTTCCCCTTCAGTGTTGTTCTCTTACCTCTCCAACGCCCCCTACTTCTTACCATCCGAAAACTCAATTTCCCTGGCTTACTTCAGGTTATTTACAAAAACATTTGTTTGTTATTTAAAAAAACAAATCTACTCCCTAAATTGCTACTCTTTGCTTCATCTCCAAATGCTTACTAGAAATGCTTTCGGTTTTACTCCTCTAGAATGGTCTCCCACACTTATGACAGGTATGAATCGCCAAGTGTTTCCACTTCCGTTTCTGTACTGCAGCGGGTGTCACGCCTGTCCGTTTTCCAAAAGGAGTTTAGATTATGTTCAACTCTTTAACTTACTTCCGGCAAATACAACACACTGGCACACATCACATGCCAGTTTTTCTCCAGGCCAGGGGCTAAATGCTGTGTCTTGAGGGTGGATTGGTGCCTCATCCACAGAGGGAAACAAAGAAACACATTTTGCTGGGCTTCCTAGGAAAAGTCCCAATGTGGACGAGCTGTTCTTGTGCTCGGGTCTCAGCTCGCTGAAGGCTTTACAAAACTTCAGGCTTTTTATGAGTATCGTACATTTGGATGTTTCTCTACAAATCGACATTTCTTCCTGTTAATTTCTCTTCTCGCATTAGTTTTTACCTCGGTACAATTCTGTTTAACTTTTGCATACCGTGTGACCCAGGTGCAGTGTGATAAACAGAAGAAACTGAGCCTATAATCTAAACTATTACTTCACTAGTCATACATAGAATAAACTCCAGGTTGCTTTGTAGTCGTGATGGCTAACAGGATGGCTGTCGGGGTTTACCAGAGTCTGGTCTGTGTGGGAGAGGGCCTGGGAGCTGCGTCCTAACTTTGACTCAGGGTAAGGGCTCACAGTACATTTTCCCCGCTGTAGCCAACTCACAGGTGAAACCTGATAAAACAAAGAAAGCAAAACTTGCCTTCTATTTCTAGAATTGTGCCCACTAGAAGATCAGATGATGGTGTGAACAATTACAAATGCTGATGACTGCTAAGTCTCTCCAAGGCCATTATTTCCAACACCTGATGTGCATCAACCCATTGGAGCCGCCAGCAAAGCTGGTCACTATTATTTTTCTCTCACTGATGAGGAAACAGGAAGGTGGATCATTAGATTATGCGAGCCAGTGTGAACAATTCCAGGAAGCGGGAAATTTAAGACTTGGACTCAGGCTGACTCACGTGACAGAGCAGAGCCTTTGCGCTCAGATCTCTGCCCCCCACCCTCCTCCCCGAAAAAGAAAGATTCAAATATTGCTGCAGAACTCTAGAAGGTAGTGCTTGCTAAACAAACAGGATTTTGGCTAGCCTTCACACTAATCTCCAATTCCAGACTGTGTTCCAGAAAGTGTTTTCCCCTTTGACTTAATTTAGTTACACGTGAAGCTGTTCTGATAGCCATCCGTCACTGTTATATTTTCCACGGCAGCTGTCAGCCAGACAGAAAATCTTCATATTAAAGCAATTGAATCGATTCCCCTCAAGGCATGTGAAGCCGCAGCTAACAGGCCCTCTCCTGGGACAGTGCCTCTTGCTCCAGCTGTTGCCTTTGCAGTCAGGCTCCGTGCCCTTTCCAGACTTCATCTTCTTGACTTCTCTGCCAGTTGCTAACCACTTCCTGTTTCTCTAAGCCTGCTGTGCTTTACAGCTGTCCTCAGCCATACTATGCCCCTTCTAGCTCGTATTCACTCGCGTTCTAGTTTCGGTCCACCCCAACCCCACGTGTCTGTGGTGTTCATGTGTATGGCACACGTGTATGGATGTGCATGTGTAGGCCAGAGGTGGATATCACATGTCTTTCTTATTTCTTACTCACTGTGCACCTTAGATACTGATGCAGAACCTCTCACTGGAACCCAGATTTGGCTAGTCTAGCTAGCCAGCTCTCCCTGGGGGTCCTCAGTCTTCACCTAAAAGAGCTAGGGTCACCGGTTCACATTTGTGTGGGTGCTGGAGATCAAAGTTAGGTCCCCATGCTTGAACAACAAACACGTCACTCAGTGAGCCATCACGCCAATTCTGGATCCTCATTCTTATTTATATCACTCTGGGCTATCCCATGATCATTCATTCTGCTGTTTCAACACACTTTGGGGCTTCCAAACATAGGAAACTAGGCACTGTCACCCCAATTTTGCATGGTGCCAACTGAGCAGCCACCCATGCTAGGGTGTTTACTGTCATCCGAGACAGCTGCCATTAAGATTATTGAGGTAAGTGGAATCTTAAGTCTCGGAAAATCGTGGGTATTCCTGCCAAGGAAAGCTTTTCTCCACATTTGGAAGATTAAACCTATATAAAGGCCCAGGGGAAGAATGGGCTGGAGCTTCAGCATTCTTCCAAAAGACAAAACACTCTATAGTTTGATTGGAATCAGGGGAAGGACACTAGGGTGATGGAGGAAGGTAATTGGTTAATTATAATAAACCAACTGCTTGGCCTCATAGCTTAGAACATAGGTGGGTGGAATAAACAGAATAGGATGCTGGGCGGAAGAGGAAGTGAGGTCAGACTCTGCTCTGCTTCCAGAGGGACCGGACAGCTCTGCTCTCTGGAGCAGAGACGCCATGCTCAGCTCTGCCGGATAGACACGATAGCTATGCGCTCTGAGGCAGACGCATGAAGCTCAAACCCAGGATGGACGGAGGCTAGAATCTTCCCGGTAAGCGCACCTTGGGGTGCTTACACACATTACTAGAAATGGGCTAGTCCAGGTGGCGAGAATTAGCCTGTAAGGACTAGAGTTCATGGGCCAAGCAGTTCTTAAATGAATACAGTTTGTGTGTTGTTATTTCGGGCATGAGCTAGCCAAGCGGCCGGGGTGTTGGGGACACAGCCCCGCCGCTCCTATTTCAACACTAGGGAACACGGAAGAGGCAGCTTTCCTTACTATCTCCGTTCAGCTTTCCTCAGCTGAGTCTCCTTCTCTCTCAAAGAAGAAATGTGTTCAGAAGTTATCCTGGAAATCAGAAACGTTCCGATAAGAAATTGTTAATTGGACCGAG